TAAAGGATAAAAAACACTCAAGTGGGAGCTAAGTAATACCTGCTTTTACACTATTGGGTTTCAGAAGAAATAAAACTAGAATAAAAAATTTTTTAAAAACTTATAAAAATGAAAAAGCAACATATCAAAAACTCTGCAATTCAGCTAAAGCAGCATACAATCCCTAGTGTACAGTCCATAGCAATAGACAAACGCATAAAAAATGAAGAAAGGAGAAAAATAAAGTTTAACTCAACACTTCTTTGAAGTTGAAAAAGAACAAGTTAATACCACCACCTCTAAAACAAAGGAAATTATAAGGACAAAGATTCAAATCACTGGAATAGAAAACAAGAGAACAATTGAAACCGTCAATAAGACCTGGAACTTGTTTTCTGAAAGGGTCCGTAAAATAGTAAACTATTGGTAAACTTAAAAGAAAAGAGAAAGAAGATACAATTAACTTTAAATGTCTTGTAAGAGGTTGTATCACAACAAAGCCAGCTGAACTTTAAATTTTAATAATGGGTAGTTTGTAAGTATATTCTCTGAAGAATTTAAAAATCTAGAGGAAATGGACAAATTTCACCTCACCCAAATTGGCGTTCCCAAATTGACCTAGACAGAAGTAGAACACCTGAACAGACTCATTACAAAAGAAGAAATTGAGCAGGTCATAAAAAACTTGCTAAAAAAAAATTGAGGTCCAAATGTCTTGTTAGGTCATTCCTATCAAGAATTAAAAGTTTAACTATAACCAATTCTACTTCAATTATTTTAAAGAATAAAACAAGAAAGAATACTCTGAGTCATTCTATGAATAAAGCAAACCTCTAATACCAAAACAAGGCTAAGACATCACCAAAAAAGAGAACAATAGACCAATATCTCTCATGAACATTGATATAAACATCCTTAACAAAATCCTAACCAATAGAATACAACAGTATATTTTTAAAAAACCATCAGTATATAAATTCACCATGATTAGACTAAGTGTAGTTCATAACAGCTAAGCAATAATGGTTCACATAAGAAAATTTAATCACATTAACAAAGCAAAGAAAAAGAAATATATGATACCAGCAAGTGATAAAGAAAAGGCTTTGGGGAAAATTTTTTTTATTAAAATACTAAAAAATTAGTAATAGAATGGAAGTTCCTCAACATAGTAAAAAGCATAAATGAAAATTAAGAGTCAACATTATATTTAGTGGAGAGAGAATAACGGCATTCCCATAGTGAACAAGGACCAGGCAAAGATGACCACTTTCATCATTCCGATTCAATATTGTATTGGAAATACTTGCTAGGCAATAAGACAAGAGAAGGAAATAAGAGGCATGCACATTGACAAAGAGATAGCAAAATTGTTGCTATATGCAGGTGATATGATAGTGCGCATAGAAAACCCCATTCAATCAAAAACTGTTAGATCTGGTAGTCCAATTCAGTGAGATAGTAGGATATACAATTATTATACAAAAAATCAGAGGGATTAAATACCTTTGTGCATCAAAAAATTTTCCCAATAGAATGAAAAGAAAGCCTTTCTTTTCCAATGGGACAGAAACATTTGGAATGACATTTCAAACAAGGGTCTCATAACTAAAGTTTACAGAATACTACATGGCCTCCACAAGAAACCTGATAACCCAATAATAAAATGGATAAAAAGATGTGAAATGTCTCTTCACAAATGAAGATATTCAGATGGCAAACAGACACATGAAGAAATGTTCAAAGTCACTGACAATCAGAGAGAAGAAAATCAAAACAAGAATGAGATACTAACTCATCCCAGTAGCAGTAGCAAAGTTTAACAGGACAGCAAGAAATAAATGTTGGAGAGACTGAACTCTCATGTATTGCTAGTGGAACTGAAAAATGGTACAACCACTTTGAAAAGCAGCTTAGTTTTAAATCAGATATTCCACTGCTAAGAATATGCTCCAAAGAAATAATAACTGAGACACAAGTGGAGATATGTACATTGATGTTCCTAGCAGCGTTATTGACAATAGCAAGAAAATGTAAACAGCACAAATGCCAATCAGCAAATTAAAGGATTTAGAAATTGTGATACACTCACACAATGGAATACTATGCAGCACCGAGGAACAATGATTTCATAAAATGCTAGGAGAGTTGAGAGAGCACTATGCTGAGGAACTTAATTCAGTTTCATAAGGGTAAATCCTGCATAAGACTATTATTGTAAAGGTAGAAGGATAACTAATAAGATGTGTATAAAAGTCCAAAAGGAGGAGGGGAGATGGGAAAGGGGGAAGAAAATGAGAGAAGGTAGAAATCACTAGGATAGTAGAGTTTTGTGGGCTGATGGGGTGAGTTGTGGGAATAGGAAAGATTCAATGAGAACTTGAAAAGACAGGGCATAGGCCAGTAGTAATAAATTCTATGAAATACAATGCATATAAATGATTGTATGAAATACAATATAAATGAGAAATTGTATAAATCATAATATACATGAATGAAATACAATGAATGTGATTAATTGTATTCAAATTAATTAAGAAAAATAATAGTGATTACTTATATAAAATATAAACTATGAATAGCTGGAGCTCTGGTGGCCTACTGGCAAGAAGCTGTGCTACAATCTCAAAGGAACTCAGTTCCTATCCACCAGCTGTTCCACGGGAGAAGGATGGGCAGTCTCCTCCTGTGTGATTAACTGGCTCTGAAAACCCTCTGGAGGGTCTGTTCCTATTCTCTGGTATACAACAGCAACAACATACTTAATGAAATACAATGTAAATGATAAATTGTATGAGATATAATGTATAAGTACGAAACATAGTGTAAATGTGTGAAACACTATATGAATGATTGCATGCAAAAAATTAAAAATATGTCAAGAAATATGACCAATTCAAGATGTATATTGAAATACAATAGTATGAGCGATAGGATAATATCCATATGTATAAAATAAGAACCTACTAAAACAATTACCATTCAAATACGTGCACCAACAACGAAAGTCATAGGTGAGAAAACTGAAGAATTCTACCAGCTCTTGCACTCTGAAATTGACCAATAATGTAATCAAAATACAATAATGAAAATTGAAGGGCCAGTGGTTGGATATTATGGGCTTATTGATAGAAATGAAACTATAGATATAATGATTTAATTTTGTACCGTAAATGATTTATTCATTGCAAAAGTCCTTATGAATTAATTACAGCCTTTGAAAACCTGCCAGAGGGTCAACGATGAGACAATTCCAATTTGATTGCAATGCGTTTTATCTTGTATCGCCAATTGTAGAAAGACATCTTCCATTCTTAGTTTGCCAATGCTTTTTCTGAATGACCTATTAAAAATTTACGTCTACTGAGATGACAAAATTTTTCTCTCATCTTAATTTTTAATTTCTTATTTAATAAGTTGTATTAATTTATGAGGATGTTAAACAAAACTTACACATATGACCATCTTCTCCTTTATTTTCTTCTTGAACTTTGAAGACATGTTCATTACTATGTGTTCTCCTCCCTAGACATTGGCTATTTCGTTCTAAAATCATATTTCATTAATGATTCTTTTACCATCTACTGAGTTAGAAATAATAATAGTTAACCCAACAACAGCAGTATGTGAGTTACTATTCCCTGCCCCTCCCTGTTTTCGGTTTTTTGTTTTGTTTTGTGTTTTTAAATCTCTGGCAAATATTTTCTCATTTCCTTTGGTCATTTCATGTCCTATTCTAAAGAAAACCTCAGTTTTTGTATTAACTTCCCATTTTGGTTGGCTCCTCCTCCATTATATAGTCTTTCCATTTATTGGAGAATAAAGAAACTTCAGGATTCTTAAGACATCTTCTTTAGGAGAACGTTTAGGGAGAGTGGAAGACAAGATTTAGGAATCATTGAAGTCATAAAACCTTGGGATGGATAAACCTAGAATTGTACTACTTGAAGACTCTGGATATTCTGGTAAAAGCTTCTCATTTATTCTATGCATGTCCTTTAGTGGAATATATAGTTATCTACCAATTGATATAGTTTAAAGGTGATTGATGTCAGAACAACAAATGGGAAGTGGCTGTTAAGTTGTATGGCAATGTTTTTAATTTATGACATAGTTATAGATGTGAGAGAGCCATCAGAGTTGGCATTAGTTAGTGAAATTTGTCAGAGTGAAATTAACTAAGAAACTTAAATTGCCTGAACTGTCTTAAATATGAAGACAATAGTCTATGAAAGCCGAAACATGTAGGAATTAATATTGATTGAAAGTTGATTACTTAGAAGATATTTGGAATAATACTCTTGACTGTTGAAGTCTACTTCATAACTTATATTGAACATATTAAACCCTTTGAGCATTTTTACTCCAGTGTTGGGTTAAAGTAATGAAGAATGAGAGTGATTAACAGTGTTTAAAAGGATTTTATGCTATTTCTAGAAATGACAAATGATTTGAGTTTTTAAAATATAAATAAGCCTTATCATTTTATCTATCAACTTATATTGATTCTATTAACTATGATTGTTCAACTATTTTTTGGCAGACAATGTAACAAGCACTAGTGAAACTACAGTAGTGTGAAAAGTGTAATAATTCTCTAGTGGAACTTAACATTTTTCAGAGTAAATAACATATGCTTGGAGTAGGATGTGTTGGTTGGATATTGAAGAGATAAAGGACTATAGAAATCTTAGAAAACTGTCCCCCACCTGCAGGGAAAACTGCCCTCTTCTAAGTTATGCTGAATTTTTTTTTCCATTTTTCAGGTTTTATTAAAGTCTATTTTAACAATTTCCCCCATTCTTGACTTTCTTCTAATCTCCTATGTTTAACTTGCTATAAACATGATTATTTTGAGACTGCATGAGTCTAGGTATGTATTTTCTTTATCTTGCCTTTTCCAAAGAAGGGTTTCATATTTTGTTTTTATTTCATTTATCTTAAATATCTAAAAATAATTATTTTCTCTGCAATCTCTTTTTGGGAAAAATGAAATTAACTCCTTTTCTTTTTTTTCACAGACTTTCGAAGATGGCTTACCCCCTTGAGTCCATTTGCAATTGCTGTGGTCTCGCTTTTCAGTGTCTGTTTCATCACCAGTTCTCTTGGTGAGTACTTTGCAAAATTTACTTGCAGCCTTAGACCACTTAGACAAAAAGTTTTAAAAATGCAAATAATTGTCCTGAAGGCTGTTATTGTTTCTACTAAGTGCTGATGAGTTGGAATCAATACATAGTTGACCTTCCAGTGGTTTGCAGAGGCAGTAAATCACACAGAAGTTGATTGTCCATCTTTCTTCTAGGGAGCAGCTGGTGGATTTGAACCATGTGTCTTTGTATCGACAGCACAGCTCCTTACCATTAAGTTATCAAACCTCTAAAAAAGAAAGACTGAAGGCTGGATAACACTTTAAAAGTAGGGAACATGCCTCATGCATTTAAAAAAAAAGTCAGATATGAAACATACACATCAAGAACCCATGTATGTATATGTAACATGAACAAATGAACAAAATGTTAGAATGATTCTCTCCAAAATAAAAGAATCCTTCTCAGGAAAAAAAATATACATTATGCTAAAGATTAGAAGCAATAACACTGTGAAGAACAGCATAAAGTTCAGAATAGCTGTACTCTCAGAACTATTTGGACATGAAAGAATTTTAGGGACAATTAAATAAGATCAAATGGAAAATTTTATGCATAAAAAATTCTTGAACAAGGGAAGCCAGATCATAGGACAACCAGGTTCCTAGGTTTTAACTGCAAAATATATAATGCTATTCATATTATAATGCCTGTAAAACAGCATTTCATTATTGTACCATGAATGCGCCAAGATTTAGTTTTAAAATCTGGCTTAGAAAGATAAGTAAAAAATTAGTTTTCTACTTACCTTATGTATGTAGTTTTTTAATTGAGATTTTAATCAAAGTTTACAGAGAACTTGGATTTCCATTTGTTCATTGTTGCATTTTCCTCCCTACCCTCCCTCCACAGTTCACTTTTCTCTTTGGAAAAAAAAATCTTTCATTGTTGCACAATTTTCTCCCTCTACCCACTTCTCCCCAAGTCCATTTTGCTATGCAGCTCTTATTCTGGACTGTTGTCATGCAAATAAACCTAATCTTATATTCCTTTTAAACAGTTCCTTCCCTCATCTGTTTTAATGCAGTCTACATTATTTATCCCCTCTTTTCTTAGTTTCCCCACAACCCCCATGTCAGTCATATTCTATAACAGTGGCATTATGCAGTATTTTTCTGACCCTGACCAGTTGTTATTTTCTCTTATTGTTGCAGGAGGAACAGAGAAAGAGCTTCGGTTAGCGGATGGTGAAAACAAATGTTCTGGGAGAGTGGAAGTGAAATTCCAGGAGGAATGGGGAACAGTGTGCAATAACGGCTGGGACATAGATGATGTCTCTGTGATCTGTAGACAATTAGGATGTCCAGATGCTATCAAAGCTGTTGGGTGGACCAATTCCAGTGCAGGTACAGGACGCATTTGGATGGAACATGTTTCTTGTCGAGGGAATGAGTCAGCCCTCTGGGACTGCAAACATGATGGATGGGGAAAACATAACTGTACTCACCAAGAGGACGCTGGAGTTACTTGTTCAGGTAAGACTTGACTATGCCAAAGCCTTTAGATGAAATTGTCTATGGAAAAAGAATAATAATAATACAGGTTAGTGGTAAAAAATAAAAAAGAATATTTTTTTAAAATAATCTAGTTCACGTGAAAAATTATCTAATCCTTTGCCAGAAGAGTAGTAAACCTGTGCCAGCTTCCATGGGATCAGAAATTTGAAAGAAATCACACCAAAAGACAATTCACTGAGGACACTGTAATCAATAAAGACATGAGATGAAATGTTGTATTTAGTAACCTTCCTATAACCTCTTAAAGAGTCCTGCTGGCAAGTAGTTAAATGCTCAGTGGCTAACTCTAAGGTCTGCTGTTTCAAATCCCTGCATTAATATGAGGGAGAAAGTTACATCAATCTGATTCCATATAAATATATAGCCTTAGAAACCCTTTGGGAAAATTCTACCCTGTCTTATCAGTCAGAATAGACTTAACAGTAGCAAATTTTTGTACTTCTGGATTTTTAATAAAATTATTATTATATACTAGTTTACTTACCAAGTTTGTATGCATTGTTTTCCACACTGGGTCTTTTCCCTTTCCTTTACCCATCCTTCTCTCCACCGATCAGATTGTGTGACCCTATGATTAATCAACAGCCCTGCCCCCAAGCCATCCTCACCCCTCTGCTCCCTATTTTCCCCATGGATCCTCATATACATTCCACAATAACGGTCTTTTACAGTATCTGTCCTTATGGGACTGACTGAATTAGTTCACTTGGCATTATACTCTCTCCAGTCCCTCCCAAGTTAGGTAGTAATTTACAAAATCGTTGCTCCTGTGTACTGCATATATTTCATTGTGTGAATGTACCATAATTTTTCAGTCCAGCCCATTGTGGATGGACACTTGTGCTGTTTCCATGCTCTTGCTATGGTGAATAAAACTGCTATGAACATAGGTGTACTCGTCTGTTTTAATGTTGCTTCTTCTTCATAGCTAAAACTATTTCAAAATCTAAGCTAGATTGTCGCCTTTTCTAATGACATGCTGCTTTCATGCACTGAACCATAAATCACAACTTTTTATTATCCATTGTGAATTTACTGAATCAAGAAACAAAATATGCCTAAGACTAATATCTTTGCTTTCATGGGGAAGAATGCTTTATAAATTAAAATCACTATTTCAAACATCCAGTTATATTCTTTTTAACTAAATAGTGGTTTTAATTCACACTTCATATAAGTTTTATTGTAAGTTGATCTCATAATAATCCAGAAAATAATATATCTTTCCGATTACCAATCCCAAGAAAATATTTATAAACCTATGAATAATTCTGACCACACCATTCATCTTTTGCTTATTTCTCTGGATTTTACAAAGACTTATACCTCCAAAGTTCTGTCTGGAAACCACTTTTCTCATATGACAATACATAAAAGCCTGATTTCATCCCAGATATTGAAGTGTAATCAAAACAACAACCATTACTACCCAAGAGATGCTACATCAAATTATAATATAGTCACTCTGGTTTTGAAGTTATTGAATAACCCTAAACTTTATATTCTGAACATTCAATGATAGAATATGTATATAAAGTTAGCGGAACACTGGCTGATACGTAACACATACTGAAAATGCTAGTCTTGGCATTGTTTCTTGCTTCTCATGATATTAATGGCTCAGAAAGCATGTTCACCTCTTCCTCCTTCTCATCTTTCTCCTTCGATTTCTCGATTTCTCCTCCAACTTCTTCTTCTTTTCCTCCTCTTCCTCTTTGTTCATTTCCCTTTTTGTTTCCTTCTCCTTGCCTATTATTCTTGTGGGAGACATATATACCAAAATATTAATAATAGTTTTTAGTATAGTTTTTTTAAAAAAAAATAATTTTCACGAAAGTTTACAGAGACTTAAGGTTTCCAGTCTTTCATTGTTGCACTTTCCTTCCTACCCATCCGTTCCTCCCCAATTCACTCTTCTCCTTGAAAGGAAAAAGAAAAACTCTTTTTCATTTTTATGCAATCCCTCCCCCACCAAGTCCACTCCACTATGCAGCCTTCACCCTGGACTTCTGTAATGACAAGAATATCCATTCATATGTCCCTCATATTCAGTTCTCTCCCTCATCTGTTTCAATGCAATATACATCATTCCTCCCCTCCTTTTCTGTCTTCCCTCAAATCTGATGTCAGCTCTGTTTTACAATAGTGACCCTATGCAGTATTTGTCTTTTGTGACAAATATTTCACTCAGCAAAATGTCCTCCAGGGTCATCCATTTTGCATAATATTTCATGAGTTCCTTGCTTTTCAATGCTGCATAGTATTCCATTGTGTGAATATACAACAGCTTCTCTATTCATTTGTTTGTTGTTGGGCACTTGTTTGTTTCCAGCTCTTTGCTATTGGTAACAAAGCTGCAATAAACATGGGTGTGCATATATCTACTTGGGTGGCAGTAATGGTTTCTTTAGGATAAATTCCCACTAGTAGAATTGCTGGGTCAAATGGTATTTTCTATTTGCAACTTTTTGAGAAATCGCCACACTGGCTTCCACAGTGGTTGCACCATTTTACACTCTCACCAACAATGAATAAGGGTTCCAGTTTCTCCACAACCTCACCTGCATTTGATGTTTGCTCTTCTGTTAAATTTTGCTATTCTTACTGGGGTGAGATGATACCTTTTAGTAGGTTTTGGTATAGATTTTTTATGCAAAAATTAAAACAGATATTACAAGATTCTTATAACACTTATTGCTATATAGCAATGTGACTGTTTAGTTAACATCAGTAGAATTGCACTCATAGCTCTTGTTTTCATTTTTATTAAAGCCTAAGAATAGAGTTAATCAAACTTGCTTCCTGAAAATTGTATAACTAGTGTTTCAACAAGAGTATAATAAAAGAAACTTATTTTCATTCAAGGACTTACTAGTTTTGTGAAGTTGTGAAGTCTACATTTCTGAGATTATCCACTCTGACTGATTCTTAATCTGAGTTTCTACATCATTTGGTGACCTTTTATTTTGTGGGGTTTTTTTGTTTTGCTTTTTTAGTTTTATTATTTTGTGTGTGTGTGTACCGTCAAATCAGATCTGACTGGTACAGGAGGAGATTGTTCCTCCTTCTCCAGCAAAGCATCTGGTGGATATGAACCGCACACCTCTGGGATTGCAGTGAAGCTTCTTGCCACTAGACCACCAGAGCTCACCTGACCTTTTATTAATATATATCATATGCTCTGATCCAATATAGCATAATAGTCAATAGTATTGACTCAGCTGTTAATCTTTTTCCTGTAATTTGACTTTATATAAATTTCTTAATCTCAGCTCCATTATTCATAAGTGGAGATATTGAAAATAATACATAATATTTAGAGTTATTGTCAAGATTAAAATAGGTAGTATGTGTTATATAGTTAGAACAGCTGATAGGTCTTTTTATTGTGAGTCATTATACTTAGTCCATAATCTACTCTCCTAAGTGGAGATTCTTTTTTTTTTTTTATTTTAGATCCCTTACAGCAAAATAATTTTTTGTTCAACTACATGTGGTTGCTGTGATGCTAAACACTGTGGCCCTGATGTGTCAAATTTGATAATGATTACACATGGTGGACAGTGTTTGGTGGAGCTCTGTGATTAAAACAAGCTTGGAAACAGAAGTGGCATACACTTCCGAAATAGCTTGCCTCCAGAAACTCTATGAACATGGAGAAACGATGAAAAGTTATACAAGTGTGCAGGTCTTTTGTTCATAGTGTCGCTATGAGTCACCTACGACTTGGCGGAACCTAACAACAACAACATACAGGTTTTACTTTTCAGGTGTCCAAAATATCATTTAAAAAAAAAAAAAACAACTCTCCTTTCCTCAACTTATTTAGCCTTCATGGAAGAGATAGTATATAGAGAAAATTTGTTTCATGCTTTTTTATTCAATCTGAGAATTTTGCACATCACAAGAATCCTTTTTCAAAATATTACACGTTTGTGCATTTTTTGGTTAGCATACTACAGACTCGCATCAGAGCTGCTTTGGATTTTTATCTTTGTTTTCTTCCTATTTCCTTATTCAACTTCAGGCAAGTAGACCTTGTTGCTTAGTGCTGTTTGTAATCAAGAAAATTAAAATAAATACTTTAAATATTCAAAAAATTACTAGCTTGTGATTTTTATTACTTTTTTGTATGGGATAATTTTCTCTAACCTAGTTTCTAAAAGACATAAATAAAAAAATTATCTATTTCTACACAAGAACATTTTATTTTGTCCTGGTAACAGAACTAAACAAAACAATATAGAAAGTTAAGTTTACAAGAATTTTTCCTTGGTAAGTAGACAAAAGTGGAAGTCCTGATTGTTAATTTATTTCCATTATGAGGGGCTGGACATTAACCAAAGTTAGTAAACTTTTTGAGGACATCAAGTCCCAAGTGTCCAAAGGAATCTTGATTTCTAAAATCATACCTGAATTAGTATAATTTCTGAACTTATTCTAGATGGATCCAACTTGCAAATGAGGCTGATGAATACACAAAACCGGTGTTCAGGAAGAGTAGAGGTTAAATTCCAAGGACAGTGGGGAACTGTTTGTGATGATGGCTTCAACATTGAGCATGCTTCTGTGGTTTGTAAACAACTTGACTGTGGAAGTGCCGTCAGTGTCTTTAGTTCAGCTACTTTTGGAGAAGGCTCTGGACCGATCTGGTTTGATGATCTTGTGTGCCATGGAAATGAGTCAGCTCTTTGGAACTGCAGACACCAAGGATGGGGCAAGCATAACTGTGATCACGCTGAGGATGTTGGTGTGGTTTGCTTAGGTAAGTACTAGTCCAAGAGAGAATAAAATTCAAACGTTTAGAAACTTTGTCACCTCATAATCATCTCATTTCAGGTTACAGTTCTGGTGATAAACTGTGGAGTTTTAATCTTAATTGAAACTTGTTGTTGTTGAGTACCATGGAGTCGAAACTGATCCTCAGGCCAAATTTCAGAGGCAGCTAATCACACGGAAGGAAATTACCCATCTTTCTCCCTTGGAACAGCTGGTGGATTTGAACCACATGCCCTTGGGATTACAGTGCATTGTCATAGCACTAGGCCACCAGAGTGTCTTAACTTAAACTAGGATAAACTAAACACTAAAATGCATTAATTTCTATTCTGAGCCAACTCCAGCTGATTTTGGGAAGCAGTAAATGCCAGGGGATTTCCATTTTGCCTTTCTCCCAAGGAGGAGCAGGTGGATTCCCAAACACCAGAGAGCAGGACTAGATCATGGGAGCTTCCTAGCTTAAATAGATAGAGGGTGAATGGACAGTGAAATTAAGATCCAATATAAAGGTAAGAAGGAAGTGTTTAGAGAAGAAATTAGTTGGGTTTTGTTTGTGTGCTTACTTAAAAAGCTAAGAAATTTTGCTAATGGAATATTTTGGAAATGGAAATGTTTTTCTAAGGGAGTACTGGTGGCATAGTTTACAAGGAGTTATACTTGCCAGCCAAAGGCCACTCTTCTCTGGCAACTTAAATTCAAGAAAGAAAGATGGACTCCTCTCACAATTTATAGCCTCTGACAGCTAGCTGAAGTCAGCTATGAGTCAGTTCCAATTTGATAGCAATGAGTGTAGCATAACGTATTGGCTGGTAGATTCAAACCACTAGCAAGTCACCACCACTTTTATGTTAACATAATAGCTGACCTTCTGGCAGATTTTCAGAGGCAGTTAATTGCATGGTGGGGGATGGATCCAAACTCCATATCTTCGGGATTGCAGTGAAGTTTCATACCACTAGGCTACTAGAGTTCTTGTTGTTGTTGTTGATGATGATGATAATTGCCGTTGAGTCGAGTGTGACTCATAGCGACTCTATGAATAAAAGACCTGAAGCCTTTCTATAACTATCGTCATTTCCCCAGGTTCATAGAGTTTCCATCAGCATACGGTTTAGGAAGTGGATGTCACTCCTGCTTCCAAACCTGTCTTAAACTGAGAGCTCCAGCAAACACTGTCCACCTTGGACAACCATTATGATGTTTGACACCCCAATGACACAAGGTTCAGCATCACAGCAAACCCAGATTACTTCAGTATAGCAGATTGATGGAAGAGTGGTGTACAATTTAGAAGAATTTTCCTCCAAAATATTACAATTCTAGTCTCACTTAGTGGTGTTAAGTGCCATCAACTCAAATACAACTCATAGCAACCCCATGAACAAAAGACCCGAACCCTGTTCTACAACTAACTTCATTCCTCTATTTAGGGACCTCTCTAGACCTCCCTACACATAAACCAGGTTGTATAAACAGGTAACACAAGTGTGCAGTAGGCTCAGGACAAGCCATGGTTCAGAGCCATTGATCATAAGGTCACAATGAGTTGTCGCTGACTTGATGGCACATTACAACAACAACAACAGACATGGACAAAACAAGTAATGATGTTTGAGGCAAACATATGTGTATGGGCAGCACCTAAAGATAGCCAAGTATACTTTAACAAGAAAAAGTAAATCATTTCAATAAAGACTTGGTAGTAGTCAAATAAGCACATTTCTAGATAAAATGTCAAGTAGAATTTTTAAAAATTCTGTGTGATGATACCTGGTGATGTGGACTTTAAAGATATTGCCAACTAAAGCAAATATTGGCTTTTGGAATGCTTCTGAAAAGCATTAAAAACCCCACAGGTCTACTCTGAAGTTCATGAGGTCATCATGGGTCAGAAGCACCTCAAGAGTAATGGCTTCATTAAATTATTTTTTAAAAATTTATTTCATACTAGTTTACTTACAAAGTTTGTATACATTGTTCTTCACACCAGATCTTTACCCATCGCTACGTCCACCATCAAATTGTGTGACCGTATGTTAACCCCCTCATCCTCACCCGTCTGCTTCCCTCTTCCCTCTTGGATCTTCATACACATTCTACAATAATAGTTTTATACAGTATTTGTCCTTATGAGACTGTGTTATTTCACTTCACATAATGCTCTCCACCCTCTCCCAAGTTAATTTGTTTTGTTGTTGTCACGTCAAGTTCAGCCCCCGATTCTCTCTGTAGAAACTATTCCTGGGCATATGCTGTCTTCCTGACTTTCTACTCTACTCCATCTTTAAATTTTTGAAAGATGCAGATATACCATTGTTTTCTCTGTTTTCCTTCTTTTTTCCCCTCATCTAAATTCTGGGGATTTATTGTTCTTTTCTTCTTGATTCCTTATCATGGGCTTTTTCTGTGTCTCTGATGCAGAGGGAGCAGATCTGAATTTGACACTGGCAGATGGACCCAATAAATGTTCAGGAAGATTGGAAGTGAAATTTCAAGGAGAATGGGGCACGGTGTGTGATGATGGCTGGGATAGTAGTGATGCTGCTGTGGTATGTAGACAACTGGGATGCCCAAGTGTCTTCACAGGGACTGGCCGCGTTAATGCCAGTGAAGGAGTTGGACCCATATGGCTTGATAATGTCTCCTGCCAAGGACATGAAACTGCTGTCTGGAACTGTAGACATCGAGATTGGGGAAAGCATTATTGTCATCACAATGAAGATGCTGGTGTGACATGTTCAGGTAAGTGAAAATAAAATAAAACAAAATGAACACAGAGAGCAAAAGCTCTGTGTTCTTTAGGATTAGGAACAGGTGCGAGGTGTGATAAAATGTCAAATCAGTAAATAGCTGATGGCCTAAATGTTGGTAGCTTGACCTCATCCACCTGCTCCACAGGGGGAAAGTTTGATAAAGCTTCCTGTGATCAGTTTTCATAAAGATGATAGGCGAGAAAACCCTATGGAGCAATTCTTCTCTGGAACATGTTTGGCTTCACAGAACCGGCTCAACGACTACGCAGGTTTAGTGGTTGGGGTTTTAATGAGATAAATGTTCTTTATCTGATTGACTTATGATTTATACTTCAGTTAGGGACCACATTTAGAATTCTAAAGCTACCTGGAGATTAGAAAAACAAACATTCATAGATCCTTCTTTTATTGGTACTGAGCTCTGGTAGCCCAATGGATGCCAATACAAAGAGCCACCATCTGCTCCATGGGAGAAAGATGAGCAGTCTCTTCTCATGTGATATATACACCTCTTGGAGGGTCCACTGTGAGCCAGTTCTGGCTCAGTGGCACAAAACAAAAACTTGAATAAGTGGTTTACTCATATTTTTCAGTGACAATTTAATTAACCCTCGAAGCTGCAATCCATTTCTAACCCAAATTTCAGTTGCTACTGTTTCTAGAAAAGCCAGGAAGTAGGTTAATGTCTCAGTAGGGCAAAGAGCAAGCAGCCTAACTTTATGTTTCTTTTGTAGATGGATCTGATCTGGAGGTGAAGCTTGTAGGTGGAGGCAGCCGCTGTGCTGGGGCAGTGGAGGTGACAATTCAGAAAATGTTAGGCAAAGTGTGTGACAGAAACTGGGACCTGAAGAAAGCCAATGTGCTTTGCAAACAGCTGGGATGTGGATCAGCACTCAGAACAACTTACAAAGCTTATTCCAAACTCAAAGCCACAAATGCATGGATGTTCATAAATGAGTGTGAAGGAAATGAAACTTCTCTATGGGAATGCAAAAACTGGCAGTGGGGAGGACTTACCTGTGAACACTATGAAGTAGCAAAAATTACCTGCTCAGGTATGACTTTCAATGAAGTCTACTAAGGAAATTTAGTACTAAAGAGGCCACTTTCTAATAGCAGCCTTAAAATGGACAAGAATAATCAACCTCAGTGGTTAGATTACTTTTAAATAAGCACAAACTATCTATACAAAGTTAACTATGAGGATCTCAGATAAATTTAGAAATAATTTTATACCTTTGACAATGGAGTTTGTTTTTGCTGACTCACAACTCTTCTGAGTACTTTTAAAAGGGAAAAAGTGGTATTTAAAAAAGGGATTAAAATTTTAAGAAAATACTGAAATATCTATTTTATGTGTGTTGTTAAAAGGATTTTATAAATAATTATATTGGACAGATGGACATAAAACTGTGAGCTTCCTCTATCTTACTGTAAAGGAATGTCCCTCTTTCTGAACATAGGTGCATATAGTTCACCCTTTTAAACTCTTTAAAAAGTTCAAAAGTAAGCTATGTGTTATCTAGTTTTGTTGATAATCTTTAGTATCTTACGTTAATTATATTTATACAAATAATAGCTTTAAAGTGATATTTTTTCGACATTAAGGAAACATATTTATTGAACTTAGTGATAGGATGAAAGACTTTAGATAAAACATTGTTAGAGTAAAACCCTTAGTTGTGCAAAGAACAAGCCATAGAATGAAAACGTTTACAAACCAATGACATCACCTCAAGCATCTCCCAACCTAAATGTGCCCTAGGTGAGGGAATGATTGTACAAAGACAATCTTTTAATGTATGCATTTGAATTCTAATCAGTTTTTTAAAAGTTCTTGATTAAATATTGTAGTCACGTGGCTTAACTTCAATACATGAAAAGTGTGAAATATCCCCCCATTACTGTCCCAATTCATCTACTCTTAGGCAACTTAATCTGGATGAAATTTATGTGTGTTTATTCAAAAGGTATTTGATGCAAATAAAAATAAGGATAAGCAAATTAACATGTCGGTATCATCTCCTTTTGCTATCCAGATACTGATCCAACATTGAGCCTTTACTCAGTAAAATATCTTAACTATAATTTCATGCCAGTATTAAAGACCTTGCTGAGTCTTAAAATAACTATTTGCATAGTTTTTGTATTGATGATATTTCTCTTATTTGTTATTGTGCATGTTTATTTCTGCTTTTCAATTTCCTTTATTTTAAAAGATTATTTATTGAGCTTCTAAAGCTTGTTTTAAAGAATGGAAATTTGGACTTTTTTAAAATTAGTGCTATCTTACTTTTTTCTAATTTATTAAAGTTTGTTTCTTTTTGTATTGTTTCACTTACGATTTCCTGAAGTTTGGTGCTTTCCCCTCCCCTTTAACTTCTTGAACTGGATGTTAAACTTTGATCTTTCCTGTTTGTCAATGTAAGTGTGTGAAGTCATATACTTACTTATGAACTGTTACATAACTACACCTACATTTTATTCTATCACCTGCATTCTATTCTTTTCAGATAATTCTGTTGGTATAGTCCAGAGGAGTTGCCATCCTAACAGAAAGGCTGTGCATCTCTGGTGGTTTGAATTCACCAGAGGCTCTGCAAGAAAATTATGGACATAAAAAAAAGAAAAGAAAAGATGGACAATCTCTGAAAATCCACTGAGGGATTAGCTCTGAGACAGTTCAAACTTGACAATAATGAATTCAAATTTTTCCAAGGAGTGTCCAGAGTTGTTTTACTATAGTAATCTTTAAATATTCTGGGTAGGAATGATGAGAACTTCCTACTCTACAAATGAGCCAGCTCCATGATAATAAGCCTAACTGACAGACAGGTTCTGCTGACAAAGTATCCTATGCCCATTTTCCCATCAGAGACCCAGGTGCTTCTCACTGGGTAATTTTTCCTGGTGCATTATTCTGCACAATAATTTCTCAGTCAGTTTAGAAAAAATACCTGAAATTTTAATACATTTCATAAGCCATTTCTGATGTCATTGGCTTAGGAAACTTTGGATTGGATTATGGGTACAGAGGTTGTTGGCTGGTGCCAGCTCTAAGTCAGAAAAACAGTTCCCTCAAAACTCTGTATGTATATGGTAAACTTGTCTGATTAAAAATGGCCAATACCAGTCCATTTAAACTCAATAATGCCTCGAAGGTTGGTCTTTATATGTTCCATATCCTTTACACAACTTCCAAATTTCCTGGATTCATAATTAATACATTCAACTTATGAAGACAATAATATTATCTATTATTCCAGGGAATAACAAACTGAGGAGAGATGGTGTTACATTCATCTTCAAAAAGAGCATTTCAAGGTATATCTTGAAGTACAATGCTGTGATGAGGGGATACAAAGAAGACCTATTAGCACAACAATTATTTAAATATACACCCCAACCACTTAAAGTTGAAGATAAAAAAATTGAGGATCTCTATCAAGTTTTGCAGTCTGAAATTGATCAAACATGCAAGCAAAATGCATTAATAACAATTGGTGACTGGAATGCAGAAGTTGGAAACAAAGAAGAAAACCTAGTAGTTGGAAAATACTACCTTGGTGACATAAATGAGAATGGAGATCAAATGATAGAATCTTGTACAATCAAAAACTTCTTAGCTGCAAATACATTTTAAAACATAAAATCAGCTATAAACATAGGCCTCATCCGATGGACTACATAGGAATTGACTACATGAGTGGAGAAAGACATTGGAGAAGCTTAAAATCGGCAGTCAAAATAAGACCAGAAACAGACCAGTATGTACAGATTACAATCATGTACAAATTACATCATGTACAAATTACAATTTAAACTGAAAAAATTGATCTTCTCTGGTACCTCTCTCCACCAATTTGATTCCTGTGTAGTTCATCAGAAGAGTCCTTAGAATAAAAGGATGTCAGATTGACCTTGGTTGAAAGCAGAGAAAACCAGAAAGATGTCTATGTGTGTTTTACTTACTGTGCAAAGGCACAGTGTGTGTGGATTTTAATACTTTATGACTAATATTGAGAAAAATAGGAATCCCAGAGCACTTAATTGTGCTCCTGCAAAACCTATTCACAGACCAAGAAGCAGTTGTCCAGAAAAAAACGGCATGGTTTAAAATCTGGAGTGGTGTTCATCAAAGTTGTATCCTTTCTGTATTTAACGTTTATGCTGAGCAAATAATTAGAGAAGCTGATTATATGAAGAAGAATGTAGCATCAGAATTGGAGGAAAAGTCATCAACAATCTGCATTATGCATATGACACAATGCTGTTTGCAGAAAGTGAAGAAGACTTGAAGCACTTCCAAAAGATCAAAGACGACTGCCTTCAAAATGGATTACATCTTAATACCAACAAAACAAAAACTCTCACCACTGGACCAATAAGTATTATGGTAGATAATTCTAACTCAAACAACTTCTCTGTGGAGAAAAATGTTACAATTGATTTCTGTGAAGGATTATAGCCTCAGAAACCCTTTAATGTGGTTCTACTTTGTCCTACAGGATGAGTCAGAATTGACTCCATGGTAACAAATTTAAGTTTTTGTTTTTATCTAAAAGCTCTTAGTTATTTGAGTGATTGTGCTTTTAAACTAAGCATAAAAGTTTTTCTGAGCACAGTATGGGCCTCATTTCTTTAACCTTATTTTAACATATCTTTTCTTTACGTTTTAAATTCCACCATACTAAATTACTTATAACTGCTCATTGCACCATACCATTTCATGACTGTATTCTTTTAGTCCTGTTTCACATGTTGTTTACAAGCTAAACCCAATACCCTAATGGTTTCTAAAAACTCAGTTCAGATTACAGTATGCTCTTATTTGTTCCAAACAGATTCTATGACTCTTTTATTTGTTAGTTTTGTACCTAATACATATTTCAATTAAACATTATATCACTATTAAATATACTGAAAACCTTGATCTGGCAGAAAAACACAGACTGCAGTGAATGGAAGACTAAATGCAGAACTGAGAGGTAATTGCAATGGGTATACATTGTCAGGAGTTTTTAATGTTGTGAATACTGTAAGTGAAAAATTAGAAAGAATGAGTGCTATAACTCTCGACTGTTAATCTCAGGAAGCAAAGTTATAGAATTTTCTTGATTGTATTGGTTCAATGAAGAGTTAGGAGAGCTAAAATTTTTTATGTCCAACTCTAGATATAAAGAAAAAGAACAAATATGGAAAGTCAAGGAGCACACTGATCTCTCTAATTCTGTGGGTTTTCCCCCTCATTTCCATCATAAAGGACATCATAAAGGACTTGGGAATCATGACATAACTCACTGAAGTTTTGTTTTTCAGCCCACAGGGAACCCAGATTCGCTAAAAGAGACATTCCCTGCTCTGGTCGTGTTGAAGTGAAACATGGAGACTTATGGGGCTCAGTCTGTGATTCTGACTTCTCTCTTGAAGCTGCCAATGTGCTGTGCAGGGAGTTACAATGTGGCACAGCCGTCTCAATCTTGGGGGGAGCTCATTTTGGAGAAGGAAAAGGACAGATCTGGCCTGAAGAATTCCAGTGCACGGGTGATGAGTCCCATCTCTCCCTCTGTCCAGTAGCACCTCGCCTAGATGGCACTTGTAGCCACAGCAGGGATGTTGGCGTCATCTGTTCAAGTGAGATTCAGAGACCATCTTCTATTTGTTCCCACATTGAGAATGAGCTGGGATAGGTAGTTACAGTCTTCTTTTCTAAAACATTGTTTCCTTTTAGGATACACAGAAATCCGCTTGGCGGATGGCAAGACCCGTTGTGAGGGAAGAGTAGAGATGAAGATGCTTGGGGCCTGGGGGCCTCTCTGTAATTCTCATTGGGACATGGAAGATGCTCACGTCATTTGCCAGCAGCTTAAATGTGGAGTTGCTCTTTCCACTCCAGGAGGAGCACATTTTGGGAAAGGAAGTGGTCAGGTCTGGAGGCACAGGTTTCACTGCACTGGCACTGAACAGCACGTGGGAGATTGTCCAGTAACTGCTCTGGGGGCATCATTGTGTCCTGAAGGACAAGTGGCCTCTGTAATATGCTCAGGTAAGAGGGTGAAGACCAGTTAACAATGAATCTTATCCACTATGGAGTGTCTTAAGAACAGTTGTACAGATAGGAATGAAAAGCAAGAAGTGGGATATAGTTCATTTTGAAAGATCAAGGCAAATATGTCAGAATTTTAGACTCATCTGTCTTTTAAGAAGGGTCATGAATTTCATATTCATGGTCATCTTAGTTATTTGTTTCTGTTAGGGGACATGGAGGTGATTCCAAAGCAAAGCTAACTTATATATGACAGAACAAAACACTGACCAGAGTTATACCATCCTCACAGTCAATACTATGTTAAAGCTATTATTTCAATAAATATAACTGAGAGTTTTCCTGTTTTTACTGACCTTCTACATTACCAAACAATGTTCTTTTCTGGGGTTAGGGCCCTGCTAATAACATATCCAAAGTACATGAACAAAGGCTTATCAGCCTCACTTCTAAGGAACGATCTGGTGACACATATTTCAACTTATTTGTTCTGGCAGTTTGTGGTATATTTAATATTTTTCAACAGCACCAATAATAGAATGTATAAATTCTTCAGACTTTCTTACTTATTGTCCAGCTTTCACCTGCAATTGAAAATACCGACATTTGGGTGAGGGCCGTTTTGGCCCATAAAATTGCATTTTTATTTTGTACTTTTTAAAAAAGATTTTTATTTTATATTGGTTTACTTATTCCATTTGTATAAATTGCATTTCACACTATTCTTCATTTACTTTATATTTCATACTATCATTTCGGTTCATTGTGTTTTATAAAATTAATCATCATTGAACTATGCCCACCATTCTCTGTATTTCTAGATCTCTACCAGATCTTTCTAATTTTCTTAACCTTCCTTTCATCCACCAAATTGTGCAACTCTCATGATTTCCCACCTGCCCATCTTCACCTCTCTCTGCTCCCATCCCTCCCTTTGGATCCTCATATTTTATTATTTATCTTCTATTTCTACAGTGAGACAGTTAGTTCACTCAGCATAATGCTCTCCAGTACCTCCCCAATTATGTAGTAATTTTCAAAATCATTGCACCCGAGTGCTGCATAGTATTCCATTTATATAAATGCACCACAATTTTTCAATCCATTTGATTGTGGTTGTATATTTGGGGTGTTCCTATGTTTTTGTTACGGTGAATAAAGCTGCTATGAACATTAGTGTACAAATCTATTTTTGAATCTCAATTCTAATTTTCTCAGGGCATATTCATAACAGCCAAATGGCTGAGTCATATGACATTTCTCTGTTCAGCTTTGTGAGGAAGTGTCAAACGAATTTCTAAAGTGTTATTTTACAATCCTACCAACAGTGTATGAGATTTCCTATCTCTCCACATCCTCTTCTTTTTGATGATTTGAAGAAATTTTTTGCAGACCTTTCCACTGTGATACATAATTTTGTTTTCTGACTACCGCTTCCATGGGCATTGATTGTAGATCCAATTAAAATTAAACCCTTGATAGCTTCAGTCTTCTCTCTGTATATCGTTATATTGCCTATTGATCCAGCTGTGAGAATATTTCTTTACTTATATTGAAGTATTATACATAGTACTGAAGCTTGTAGTCTTTTTTTTACTTTTTAAATTTAAATTTATTATTAATTTCAGTAAAAATTTACAGAGACTTTGGATTTCCATTCATTCATTGTTGCACTTTTCTTCCCTCCCAACACTCCCCCCTAGTACACTACCCTCTTGGAAAAGTAAAAGAAAAATTCTTTCATTGTTTTACAAACCCTCCCCCAGGTCCACTCCATCATGCAGCCTTCGCTCTAGACTCCTGTCAGGACAAAAATACCTAATCACATATCCCTTTAAAACAGTTTTCTCCCTTATCGGTTTCAATGCAGTATACATTATTGAACCCATCTTTCTCAGTCTCTCCCCAACCCCAAGCTCAGTCCTGTTTTACAACAGTGGCACCATGCAGTATTTGTCCTTTTGTGGCTGAGATACTTCACTCAGCATAGTGTCCTCCAGAGTCACCCATTTTGAATAATATTGCACAAGTTCCTTGTTTTTCAATGCAGCGTAGTATCCCATTGTGTGAATATACAACAGTTTCTCTATCCATTTGTTTGTTAATAGGCACTTAGGTTGTTTCCAACTCCTTGCTATTGTGAACAAAGCCACAATAAACATGGGTGTTTATTATCTGTTTGGATGTCAGTAATGGTCTCTTCGGAGTATATTCCCAGTAGTGGAATTGCTGGGTCAAATGGTATCTCTATTTGCAACTTTTTGAGAAAGCACCATACCACCTTTCACAGTGGTTGCACCATTTTACACTCCCACCAACAGTGAATAAGGGTTGCAGTTTCTCCACAACCTGGCCAACATTTGTTGCTTGCTGTTCTGTTAAATTTTGTTATTCTGTCTGGGCTGAGATGGTATCTCATAGTTGTTTTAATTTGCATCTCTTTTAGAGTTAGGGATTTTGAACATTTCTTCATGTGCTTGTTAGCCATCTGAATATTTTCTTCGGTGAAGTGTCTTTTCATATCCTATGCCCATTTTTCTATTGGATTATTTGCCTTTATCTTGTTGTGGTGCTCAAGTATTTTATAAATTCTGGATATAAGTCCCTTATCTGATATGTAATTACCAAATGCTTTTTCCCTGTCGGTGGCTTCCCTTTTTACCCTGTTGGAGAAGTTTTAGGATGTGCGTAGGGATTTGATTCTTAGAAGATCCCATTCATCTATTTTATCTTCTCCTGGTTTTAGGTGAAGGTTGTAGTCTTTTATTTTCATTAATTAAGTGATTCAAGGCCTCTTCACTTTTCAGCAAGCAAAGTTGTGTCATCAGTATATTGGAGGTTATTAAGCCTTCCTTCATTTTGGGTGCTACATTTTCTTGATTCAGTCTATTTTCTCAGATTATTTACTAAGCATGCAGAATGGATAGGTATGGAGAAAAGATAGAACCCAAATACTCACCTTATCTAATTGTCTTTTTTTTAATTTATTTTATTATTTTGTGTGTGTGTGTGTGTGTACTGTCCAATCAGATCTGACTGGTACAGGAGGAGGACATTGCTCCTCCTTCTCCAGCAGAGCATCTGGTGGATTTGAACCATGCACCTCTGGGATTGCACACCTTTTCTAATTTTAAACCATGCAGTACTCCTTTGTTTTATTTCAACAGCTGACTTTTGATCTATGTAGAGGTCCTGCATAAGCACAATTAATAGCTTCAGAATTCCAATTATTCTCAATGTTATCAATAAATTTAGATTAACATAATTAATAAAATATAGGTAAACATATTTCTGGTATTCTCTATGATCAGCAATAACATCCCTTGTTCCATATCTTCTGAATTTGGCTTCAATTTAAGCTGATCCCTGTCAATGGACTGTCACAACCATTTTTTGAACGATCTTCAGCACAATTTTACTTGAATATACCGTTGATATTATTTGATAATTTCTTCATTCTTTTGGCTAATCTTTTTTTTTAATGTCTTGGATTGCTTCCATTCAATTGATGAGGTATCTATCTTCCAAATTTCTTGGCATAGACAAGGGAGCACTAATATTGTTGTATTAATTTGTTCAAACATCTCAACTGGTGATCTGTTGTTTCAAGAACTCTGTTTTCCACCAGTGCCTTCAGTGCTGCATGAAGTTCTTCTTTCAGAATCATAGATTATTGATCAGATACTAACTCCTAAATGATTAAATATTTATCAATTCTTTTTGGTACAGCTACTCTGTGTATTCTACTTTTTAAAAAAAGTTATTGGACTTCATTCATTACATTATACTTTATATACTTAATTATTATTGATCTATGCCTTTTATTACCCCATCTCATGGAGTTCTTATTCTATCTTGCTTGTTACTGCACACCTCTTCATCTGCCTAGTGATCTTTGCCATCACAGTGATTCTTCCTCTTCTTCTGCCTCCCTTTTATTCCTTTCATTCCCCTTTTTGTTCAGATATGCTTATCTTGATTCTATTTGTAGATTGCAGTAGCCATATTGATCCTTTCCTGGTTTATCCTTCTTAGTTCTAGTCTTTAACAGTGTTTGTTGTCTGTACATTCTATTTCTTTTTTCCACCCCAGTTCTCAGCTACCCTTCTACAGTCTAACTGTCTTCTGACTGAATTATTTTACTCAACAGAATGCCCTTTAGACTCTCCCATGTTATGTAATATTTTATGAATACTTCATTGTTCTTTAGTATTGAATAGTATTCCATTGTGTGAATATACCAAAATTTCTCTATTCATTCAGTTGTGGATGACCATTTGGGCTGTTTCCATTTTCTTACTGTTGTCATTAATGTTGCTGTGAACATAGGTGTGCCTATATATGTTTGTGTCTCAGCTCTGATTTCTTTAGGTTATATTCCTAGCAGTGGAATGTTGTTGTTGCTATGTGCCATTGAGTCAGAATGATTAATAGCTAACCCTTCAATGGGTTTTCAGAGACTGAATCTGGTGGATTTGAACCATTTACCTTTGGGATTGCAGCTCAGTTTCTTACCACTAGGCCACCAGAGCTCCCTTTAGTGAAATAGTTAGGTCATACAAGATTTCAATATTCCTTTTTTTAATTAAACATCATATTGCCTTCAATAGTGATTGTACCATTTTACATTCCCATCAGCAGAGAATGAGAGTTTCAATCTCATCCATCTTCAACAACATTCACTCTTAAACTTTGCTGTGCTACTGGGGTGAGATGGTGTGGTGTTAGCTTAAAGTTGGCTTTTTTAGCCATTACCTTAAGCCCCTCTGGTCTCCAGTGACCTTAACTGCTGACACATGGTCTTACAAATCATCAGTAGCAGTGGGACTAGGATAAGCACGAGCGTGAGCGAGAGCATGAGCTTCCCACACTGGGCAGCAAGTCTTGAGGGACACTAGAAGACTGATTTTGGTATGTATATTGGGATTATGTTGAATTTGTAGATTGCTTTTAGTAGAATTGTCATTTTTTACAATTTAAGTCTTCCTATCTATGAACAA